TTAATGGAGAGAGGTTAAAGGCATTCCCTTTAAGAACAGGAACTAGGCAAGGATGCCCACTATCACCTCTTTTATTCAATATTGTTTTGGAAGAATACAGGTATGTTTTAATCTACACATTCCTGAATATATACACATCAGATATTACACAAAAATCCATGCATCTATTTAACACAATATATACCAGTGTGTTCACTAAACTGGGTATCCTCCCCCTGAAAAGAAAGAGAAAAATTTCCTTAACTTGCAAGAATTAAAAGCTTGCTCATATGTCGTGAAAACTATAGCACATTAACAAATGGGAGAAACAAAACATAAATCTATGCCTTAACTTTTCAACCATAAAATAAATTGTAACATTTGTTCCCTCTATATGTAAAGGCTGCAAATGGAGCTTCGATTGATAATTTTATTTATCTCAATCCAATATTCTTGTTTTCTTCTCCTTCAAAAATAAGCAGAATTGCCTGATAAGCACTCAAATATCAGAAATATAAAAACTTAAATATAGAAACCCACAAAAATGATATAAAGAAATCACATCACCTTTTTAAATTTACCTTCCACAAAACAAAGATCAATTGTGTGGTGTATTTACAGGAAGATGTAGTCAGGTGTATGTTCAAAGTAAATGTTCTGTGAATGCAAAGGTTGCTAAACACTAGGGAGTAAATTTTGTCTTTTTTCTTTTACTTATTAATATGAAAAAAATTATGTCCTCATGATATAACCATTTAAATGCAACACAGTATGAGCTTAAGCAAATGTCACTTTTCAAAATGTCACAGTGGTAACTTGGATGATCTCTCCCTCCATCTTTTGCAACAAGCATTCCAAACTTCACACCAATTGTCAGAGCCACTGAGGCAGGACAGGGACAAACTCTATAGTCAGAAGGTAAAATGACAGTCAGTAGTCATCTGACTTCTTAGGGATCAGAATGGATCAAAAGCAAAAAAGGGAAGGGTCTGAGTAAGAGGTATAAGGCACTCTCACATCTTTTAAGGAAAGAGACCTCAAATTTGCAGATGACACAACCCTGCTTGCTGAAACTGAGAAGAACCTGAAGCGCTTGCTGCAGAGTGTCAAGGACTGCAGCCTTCAATATGGATTGAGGCTCAATGTCAAGAAGACAAAGATTCTCACCACTGGACCAACTGGCAGCATCACGGATGGTGAAGAGACTGAGATTGTTCACAGTTTTAGTCTGCTTGGCTCCACAGCCAACACTTTTGGCACCAGCAGCCAGGAAATTAAAAGATGTATTGTGATGGGAAAGTCTGCTGTTAGGGACCTCTCTAAAGTACTGAAGAGCAATGGTGTCTCTCTGGAGATTAAAGTGTGTCTGATACAGGCCATGGTCTTTGCAATCACTTGTTATGCATCAGAGAGTTGGACAATGACTAGGCAGGATAGAAGGAGAATTGATGCCTTTGAGCTTTGGTGTTGGAGAAGAGTATTGAGGGTACTATGGACTGCTAAGAAAACAAACAGATTCATCCTGGAGACGGTTGAACCTCGCTGCTCCTTGGAGGCAAGGATTCTGAAGCTTCGTCTGACGTACTTTGGTCATGTTGTAAGGAGAGACCGGTCCTTAGAAAAGGACATCATGCTTGGGAGAGTGGAGGGCAGGCGCAAGAGGGAAAGCCCCTCTAGGAGGTGGATTGATTCAGTGACTGGGGTAATGGGGATGGGAGTGTCAGAGAGTGTGCAATTGGCACAGGACAGAGCAGAGCAGAGTTTAGGGCTGTTGTACATAGGGTCGCTATGAGTGGCAAGTGATGCGACAGCACATAACAACAACAACCACCTCAAATTGGGACAGCTATGATTGTGAAGTTCTGTGGAGGCCTTAGTGCTTGCAAAGGTGCACTAAATCAGTTGGAAGTGTCAAGTATCATCCCTTACCTAAGTCCACATGGTAACATTGGCCTCCTTTCTCTTTGCTACTACTCTCAATCTTTGCGATGGTCAGAAGAATCCAAACTCTCCTAATAGTTCTTACATGTTGTCCTACTTCATTTCTTTATAAATGTCACTTGAAAAGCCACTGAACCCAAATTCTATGGCCCTCAGTCACACTCTAAGCCTGGATTTAATTAATCTTATGGCTCGACTTTCAGCCAAATAATACACAGGCATAAAGGGTGAACAATATCAGTAAGAGATACAGGAGTGGCATCCACTTCCTAAATAACACGCCTCTGGAAACTCTTAAGAACTTTGATAAATGTCCTTAGTTGCAGAGGGGCTTCAGGCCTTTTGTTCATAGGGTCGCTATGAGTCATGCTCGACTTGACGGCAATCAACAATAACAACAACTTATTCCTTAGAATAATCACAAGATCAAAATGGCAGTATGTGTTCAGAAGGTAGGAGAGAAGGATGAATGAAAATGAGAAACACAACTCTTGCTAGGCAAGTGTAACACTGTAAGAACTACAATCAATGTCACAGGAAAAATGTGTATGAATTAGTGAATGGGAAATAAATTTGTTGTCAATGTTTACTTAAATCGCCTTTTAAAAAGAAAAAACCCCACTGAATATTCATTGATTTCCCATAGCCTGTTGTGCCTAATTCATCTCTGACATACTCTGCTGTCTTAGGTAGGAAACTATGGTATTGATCTCGTGCCCACTCCCTGTGAAGGAACCAAGTTATTCATTGTGCTCTTCCTAAAGTAATTTTCAGTCCCAAATTCACTGAAGGGGAAAATACAACTAAAGAATTATACAACTGTTTTCCTAGTTAAGGCGGTGGTCATCTCTCCTAGATTGTTGTTGTGTAATGTACAGTTCATACCTGATCACAGCAACCCAACAGGACTGAGTAGAACTGCCCTTCAGCATTTCCAAAGCTGTAATATTCACAGAAGCACACAGCCTCATCCTTCTGCTGAGCAGCTAGAGGGTTCAAACTGAGGAGTTTTGGGCTAGCAACAAAGGCCTAACTTCTGCACCATCAGGCCTCTTGGATCTAGATCATTAGCCCCTCCCAATTTCTGCTGCTAGGTGAGTTGTTAAGGAACCCTAGTGGTGCAAAGGTTAAGTCCTAGGCTGTCTGATACCATCCACCTACCCCACCTGCGAAAGATCTAGTGAAATACTCCTGTAAATATATGGCTAGAAACCCGAAGGGGCAGTTCTACTCACATAAGGTCATAAGAAGTCAAAAAAGACTAAGATGGCAACAGTGACCAGCTGAAACATTAGAATGACAAGCAGAATTCTGTATGATGCAGAACGCTCCAGTGACTGCAGCACACAGTGGGAATCAAAAAAGCATGCCATGTTCCACAATTAAAGACAGTGAAGACAAAAGTATAATGAGAAACAGTATTTAATATTATGCAAGCATATTGTATAGTGAAAAGATACTTCATCTAAAACATAACCAACAGGCCCGATTCCTTCTCTGATGCAGACCCTGAAAGGTTCAGTTTTGTTTTGTTTTGTTGGGGTGGGGGGCAGGGGTTAGATAGAAAGAGCTAAAGTGTTTGAAGTCGGCTTACTTTTCTCCTCGATATTCTTCCTTTCGTCCCCACTTTCAGGGCAGCACTGGAAGGAGAGAAATGTGATAAGCACATTAAGCCTGAAACAACTCAGATACTGCTGGAACTTAGACGGGGCTCGCGTGGCGCCTCCACTGCTGGGGTGACAGGTTCTGAATTCCTTTCCTAGGGGCGGTCCGATGCAGCTTCAAAAAGGACCACCTTCCCAGATGACCTGTGTCACCGACCCAACGGGGACCTGCAGGGCCACCTTACTTTCACAAGGGCCACTACACCGAGGTCACTAGACAGCCTGACTTAGCATGAGGGCCATCGCAATGGGGTTACTAACTCCGGGAGGCGGGTGCCACTACACTGAGTCTCTTAGTGCAAACCCCCCGCGAACACCGGAGACACTTCGCTCAAGAAGGCTATGTTCCCTCCCCGGAACAGTAAGGTCGCCTCACCAAGGAAGGCGGAGGTTCACTGGTCTCGCCCGCCGGGAGCATCCCGCCAGCGTGCGTGTCCTCGGCTCCATGCGCAGCCAGCGTGGCGTGTGAAGTCCGGCTCCGGCCAGCGATGTCAGAGCCGCTAGAGCAGCCAGGGTAGCCGACGGGGTGGACTCTCCCACAACTTCCTCCCGCCGTCTCGCTGATTTTTTCCTCTGGGCCTATAGAGATGTTGTCCTGGCCGCCGCCAGGCATACGCTAGAGCGCCCCCATCCGGCTGGAGGTCGAGCCTGCAGCCCAGAAAGCAGGTGCCCGCCCCGCCCCCCTCCTGCTCATTCCCCGCCCCCTCAATCCATGTAGCTTCAAAGAAGTGGGGGATCCCTTTCAACTTCGGTAGAGCCCCTTCCACTTCATTTGAGGTGATATATCTATCCCTCACTCTTCTCCAAGCAGAAATTCAACAAAGAATTGTTTACATTTTTATTTCAAGTTATATCCTTGATTTTCCCCCCCTTACATTTAAGAACCGAATATAAAAGCTGATCAGATAATCTCAGAATGTGAGTGAGCTTCAAAGCAAGGTTATTTAACTGGGCTATTCAGTGGAAGAATTTCTGATGTCAGCATCTTTGACTCTTGCCTTTAAAGCTGATCATATTCCCTAGAGATGACGCTCCAATTTCCTGCCTGAATGTTGCAGCCTTGGTTCTGAGCTTCCTGAGAGCGTCTAACACTCACTTTGGTGCAGAGATCCAGAAAGTGCCAGAGGACGGAAGAGACGTGAACTAGCAGCTAGGAGGCAAAAGCCCTCTCTGCAACTAAATCGAGTCTGAGTCTTAGGGAGCTCTGATGGTGCATCTGTTAAGTACTCTGTTGACCACCCCAAAAGGGATCACAGCAGAATATATGCAAAAAAAAACTCCCAATTCATTGCCATCTAGTCAGAACCAAAAATTTCAAAGGATGAGGTTGCCTGTCTTTCTGTCTGGCAGCAGCTGCTCGATTGGAGCTGCCTGCATTTGGGTTGGCCTCACAACCCCTTACCCACTAGACAAGACAGCAAGGGGTGGAGGAGATGTGGAACAAAACTCAGAAACATAAAAATGGCCAGGCTAATTAGTCCGATGGAGACTGGTGGAACCCTCCAGATCATGGCCCTTTATCAGCCCCAGAACCTGGAGCCTTTGGGGCTTAGTTCTCAGGCAAACAATAGACAAGCCATTAGGATGACCTTTCACACCAGAGAGACTCACTCTTTAAAATAACCAACCACATAAGATGAAAAGAACAGCATTTGCTTAAGGACAAAACTCAGTAGAAGAATTAATGAAAGTAAGAATTACTTCTTCCAGTGGGGAAAATGAAATTACATTTATGAGTATTATAACTATGAGGGAGCACTGGTGGCTTAGTGGTAAAGAGTTGTGCTGCCAACCTAAAGGCACATGGTTCGAATCTGACATGCGCTTTGAGAGAGAAGGATGGCCTGTCTCCTCCAGTGTGATTTATTTCCTCTGAAAACCTGATGGAAGGTCAGCTATCATTTGATTCTGATTAAATGGTATATTTTAAAAATATAAAAGCATTGTATGTAATGTTATAAAACCAAAAGCATATGAATGGTCAGATGAAGTTTACTTTGTAATATTTCATTCAAATTGCAATTTAAAAAAAACCCAAAAATGTGTTTGGAAGCTGCAGCCTTTCAGTAAGCAGTCAAGTACTGACCTGTGGCCAAATCAAGGCTCCTTAGGAGGTAGTTAGGGCAGGAGTGGGGGAGTTTTTTTGAGGGGGGAGTGGAGCAAAAGGATAATGAAAAAAATAACAACACAAAGTAGAAAAGATAATAAACAAAAGAACCAGCTCAGACTCCAAAAGTCCACTGCCATCAAGCAGATTTTTACTCACAGTGACTATTGAATTTTCAAAGCTGTCATCATTATGGGAAGAGACTGTCCCATCTTTCTCCCTCAGAGCTGCTGGTAGTTTTCAACCAAGCAGAGACACTCAGCCTTTTGGTAAGCAGTGCAACACTTTACAGACTTTGCTACCAGAGATTCTTGAAGAAATAGCCCAGCAAGTCTCAAATCTGAAAAATAAGAGTTTCAAAAGTGAAAACAATCATGAGAGTGGACGAACTTATAACAAAATAAATGATGAAAATGACATTTCCCCAGATTGAATAAAATGAGTTTTTAGAATAAAAAGGCCCACTTAACATCCAACATAAGAAACTGAAAAGTGGCTCATTCCAGGGGTCATCACTGTGAAGTGACAAAATACTGGAGGCAAAAAGGCAATCCTAACTTTCTACAGAGAAAGAGAACTGACAAGGACCAAGAATCAGAGCATATTTAGATTTTTTTTCAACAATAACACAGAAAGCTGGAAGATAGGAAAGCAATCCAATTATATCTCAAAAGGAAAGGCTATTTCCAACTAGAATTCTACCACTTGATTGATAAGTTCCCAATCAAGTTTGAGGTTAAAGACATGTTCAGCATTTAATACCTGTCTCATTTACCTCCTAGTTACTTCTCTTTTCTCAGGAACCTATGTGTGTTCACCTTTAAAATAAGAAAAGTGAACTAAGAAAGAAGACAGGAGGTAACAGAAGCTCCAACAAAGGCGATAAAGGCAATGAGAGTCCCTACCACCACCTGTGGTCAGCTTAGCTGATGCACATCAGAGGTTCCGTAAAGATGAGAACACAACATCTCTGAGCTGAAGCTCTACAGAGGGAGATTCAAACATTTGCAGAGTTTGGGCTTGGGTTAGGGATAAATAAGTAAGCTAAAATAAGGTTCTTTTTAACTATAGAAAAATCAGGGGGCTCTGGTGGCCTAGTCTGTATGGGATTCCACTGTTAACCCAAAGGCCACAACACTCTGGCAGTTCAAACCCACCAGCATTCCTGCAGGAGAAATATGGGCAGGAGAAATATGGCAACCTCTTCTTGTAAGATTTACAGCCTCTCAGGGTTGGGGTGAGACTGAGAAAGATGGGATAAATTATGTATACTGCACTGAAACAGATGAGGGAGAGAACTGTATGATTAGGTATTATGGTCATGACAAGTCCAGAATGAAGGCTACATAATGGAGTGGACTCAGTGGAGAGAGAGGATTGTATAGCAATGAAAGAATTTTTCTTTTACTTTTCAAAGAGAAGTCCGAACTGGGGGAGAGGGATGGGCAGGGAGAAATATGGGGGGGGGGGAAAGGAAGAAGAAGATTAAAAAAAAAATTTACAGTCTCTAAAACCTGCTGGAGGATCAGCCGTGCTAGTATGACTTGGCAACAGTAAGTTTGAGCTTGATAAAGAAGTTAGTTTCAATGCACAACCATGTTTATCATGGCTTTGTTCACAATAGTAAGGAGTTGGAAACAACTAAGTACCCATCAACAAACGAATGGATAGAGAAGCTGTGGTATAGTCACACAATGGAATACTATGCTGCATTGAAAAACAAGGAATTCATGCGGTATTATTCAAAATGGGTGACTCTGGAGGATATTATGCTGAGTGAAGTATCTCGGTCACAAAAGAACAATACTGCATGGTGCCACTGTTGTAAAACAGGACTGACCTCGGGGTTGGGAGGAGACTGAGAACGATGGGTTCAATAATGTATACTGCATTGAAACAGATGAGGGAGAAAACCGTTTAAGAGGGAAAAGTATTAGGTATTTTTGTCAGGACAGGAGTCTAGACCAAAGGTTGTATAGTGGAGTGGACCTGGGGGGAGGATTGTAAAACAATGAAAGAATTTTTCTTTTACTTTTCCAAGAGGATAGTGTACTAGGGGTGAGGATTGGGAGGGGAGAAAAGTGCAACAATGAATGAATGGAAATCCAAAATCTCTGTAAATTTTCACTGCAATTAATAATTAACTAAAAAAGAAAAACAAACAAAGAAAAAGTTGGTTTCAGAACCAATAGAAACACAGTTAACCTTGTTTATTCCAAACCCATTACCACTGAGTTGCTTCTGACTGGTAGCAACCCTACAGAACAGAGAGCAGCAAGTGGACTCTGGTGAGTCTGTAGGGAGTGGCCAATCCATTGCCGCTGCCTGTTGAGAACTCTTCTTTCCATGCCATTTGCAGTCTCCAAAACCATCTGGAAGATCAGCTATGAGACTCAGTTCCGAGTTGACAGCAATGAGAGTCGAACTTCAGGAAAAATAGAGAAGCCCCAATGATGCAGTGTTTAAGCGCTCAACTGCTAATTGAAAGGTTACTATTGAAATGTTAGTAGTTGGAATCTACCAGCGATTTTGCACGAGGAAGATATGGCAATTGCTTCACTAAAGATTTACAGCCTTGGGAACCCTTCGGGGCAGTTCAACACTGTTTGCAAAGTCACTATTTGTTAGAATCAACTAAAAGGCAACCAACCAGTTTGGGGTTTGGGTTTTTTGTTTTTTTTTTTTTACGAAAACCAATGACCAAGAACTATGCAGGGAAATAATAATTTTTAAAAAACCAACCAGTTTATTACTTGTTTAAGATATGTATGCTATTTACCCAGACACAACAAAACAAATGAAAATCTAACTTTAAAAAAGTACGGCAGAACCGGGAGCTGGGACAACTGGCGCGTTCCTGCCCGCAGTCCACCAC